GCCGGCCCTGCCCGCGCCCGCGCCCTGCGCGGCCATGGGGCGCAAGAAGAAGACGCTGCACGACTATGCGGCGGAGTTCACGGACCTGGGCGTGCGGCGGCACCTGCTGGAGCCAGGCGCGGGGCCGGGGCCGGGGCCGGCGGCCGCCGTAGTGGTGGAGACGCTCTACTGCAAGTCGTGCGAGCTGCCCATGCGCGTGCGGCGCGACCGCATCCTGGAGCACCTCTCGTCCGGCCGCCACTACCGCAACCGCCGCCTGCTCAAGCAGCACGGCCCGCGCGCGCCCGCCCTCGCGTGAGTCCGCCCGGGACGGCGCGGGGGGAGGGGGAGCCCTGCTCCGCCTTCGCGGGTCCCAGCCCAGGACAGGCCGCAGCTTCCTCCCGGTGACTAGTCTGAGACGGGGCTCCCGGCGGAGCAGACGTGGCACGTCGCCGAGCGTGCGGGGCTGGGTGCGACTGTCTGTGAAGCTGCGTGAGCTCGGCTCCCTCAGGTGCCGGCTGCGGACAGGGGCTTTGCTGCCCGGGAGGGCAGCCAGAGGCTGCGATACAGGTCTAATCCCTGGTCTGTTTTCAGTTAATTGCCCTGCCACATGGGCCTGCTAGGTTCAATACAGGCAACTGGGACATAGTTCTGGTGTCCTATGACCAAACCCACTGTCCCCCCTTAAGTAGCTGTGAGGCCAGGCATCCAAGTTGTAGCCATATTGGTCTAGAGGAAAAAGCAATTGGGACTTGTAGTAGAGATGATATCTTTTTTTATTTAGACCAATAAGAGTTTTGCAAAAAAAAAAATCTTTAATTGCAAGCTTTCAGGCACACACACCCTTCATCAAGTGTTGGAGAAAAGATTGTAAAAGTTCTCCTGGGTAGAAATGAAAGTTCATATTTCATAGAGGAGTCAACAGATGGAAAGCTCCTCTGGGCAGGCAGTTCATAGCTGGTGTGTGAAAGACAGGCACTTAATCGGCTAATTTGAGGTAACTGCCATTCAAGCTGCCTGTTGAGAGACTGTCCTCTACCCTGTTTTGATGCAAGTCAAAACCAGGGAAAATCAGACTTGGAATAAACCTGAGAATAAAAATAAAGTTGGGTCTGACTGTGTGTGCATCTGCAGGATCCCAGAATAAAAGGGTTTGTTTGGGTTTTTTCCCCAGAGGAAATATGGCATCTGTTTTTAGCCTGAGATTAATGCTTTCTCTCTGGACAGTTGCAACTAATTAGCAATAGTTGCTGTTGATTCCAGAGAGGACATTGGAAAAGGGCTGTGCTACGCCCTGGATTTGACTTGGATTGGTTAGAGCCAGCTCAAATGCGATGTCTGTTTTTTACCCACCATAGCTACAAACAGCTGTTGCATTTGTCCCCAAACAGACCAGTTCGTCCTGGGACAAAGAACAGTAGTTCAAGTGTCCCTCTCTGAGATGAACCATAAAAAGGTTCATGGGATAAGAGGTACAAACCACATCACAAAGTGTGTCCAAACAGTTGTCCTTGGATTGCATCAGTGGGTCAACAGCAGGAAAGCGGCAGTGCATTCAGGCACTCATTATATCCTAATGGAAAGGCAACGAGTACACATGCCAGTCTTGGGATATTCCTGTGCCAGAACAAATACAGGCACAGCGTGTTCTGGGATAAATGCAATATCTGTTCCTAGTCTGTAGTATAGTGGTTCTCAACGCCATTAAACTCAAGGCTCACCTGCCCTCCCCCAATTTCAGTTGTTAGTTTTCAGAAAAATAATACACCAATTCTTCTGTTGCAAAAAACTCAGCCCACAGCTGGTCCAAATGTTTTTGACACTGGTGATTCCTATTTGAGATTTCTGGGTCTATTGTGTGACTCCTGTCTGTACACCTAACACTGCTTAGCAATTCATGACATCCCTGAAAGGATCTCCAGGCACCTTGGAGCGAAGCAGTACACTAGCTGAGGATCACTGTTGTAAGGTGTCCCGTAGTAATGCTTGTCTCTGCCTAAATTGTCATGAAGATGTTGTCTTGAATAAACTGCAGGACTGTTTTTTTTTTCTCCCTTCTCCCCCCAAGCTTCTTGCTGCCTTCTTTATTCTTGGTGAGGTAGAGGAATGAAAAGCTCCATCCAGATGGCAGGGTTGGAGGCTCTGTCACATGGCATATTTGTGACTTTACAACTGAAGTTTGGAAAAAGTCTGTCAATATAAACACACAAGCTGAAACAGTCCCCAGAGTTTTGAAACATGAGACCTAAAGAAATATTTTTCCCATTTACTTGTTAAATAAGCATTCCCTTGTGGCATTCAAAGCTTGAGTATTGAAGTGCAGTGGAGGTATGAGTTCCAATGTTTTCACAGCTGTCTAAGCCAAGTAATGCAAAAGAATTAAAGGCAATGACAAAGGCTTTTCTTTTAGTAATTTCACATGGTTTTGGAAAGTTGGACAAAGAACTTTTTTTAGAGTTAGTTGCATGCTTTTAAATTGTTTATGTTGACTCTTAAATAAGGTCGCTCATTTCCCAGTTAATGTGGACGTACTGCAAATTACTGAATTTTATGGCTTAGCTAGCAAGCAAGACAAAAGAGCAAGTAATAAATCTTCACAATGCACTTCATTTATTTTTACAGTTGTAGTTTAAATGGAATTACGTGGGAAACCTTATAGAAGAGTAGAAAGTGCACCCTGTGCTATCTTTGTGAGAGTATGATAAAGGTAACAGTTCACCAGGGTTTTGCATGGAAGATGGGGGTAATAGTTTTCTTCATATTTGCCTAACCAAATGTATAGGCAAATAGTATGTCAACTGAGTGATGGAAGAAAATCTGAGGCTCATCATATTTACTCATTTTTTCTCTAAGATATTTTGACCTGTTTTGTTCAAACAGCTTTGTTCTGTTTGATTGTTCCTGAAGTACCAGAAGCTTCCTTAAGACTTATTTATCTCCCTTTTATCTAGATCTGCAGGTTCAGACCTTGGTACTGGGCTTCCCATGCAACTTGACACTCCTTCCCTGCTCTCTCAGCCTTCATTTATTTTCTCAGCCAACCCTTGCATCACCAGTGATGGCACCAGCACCAGCTACAGCATGGTGCCATCTCCACCTTCCTACCACAAGTCATTGATCCCTGTTCACCTCAATGCCATCAGCTCTACCACTAATGTCCTGTCTGCCAGAGAAGACCAAACACCCTCTACCTCTACCAGTTACCCTTCAGCATTTGCTGCCCTTCATCTGAGAAATGCACCTGCTTCCTCAAAACAGAACAACCAAAAGCTTGTTATTTCTGAGGCCTCCAACAGTGCGATTTGTGGAGGGGCTGTGGGACAGTACACTAGTACTGGGACTACAGGAAGCAATATTGGTCTTGCCCTCTTTGGCGTTGGGCTTGGGAACAAAGCATTGTTTCAAAGTTTAATGGAAGAAAATAGTTGCTGTTTACTCTACATTGTTGAGGATCAGCTACTAGACGTGGAACGTGCCTTCAGTACTGAATTTCTGGCCAACACCAGGGTGCTGCGGCAGCAGGATGCTGACATTGTGCTCAATGATCAACGGTACAGTCCGCAAATCACTCATATGCATGTTTTCTTAAGTCACTTAACTTTTGAAGGGCTAACAGTGTAACTTCCTTACTGTCTTTGGAAAGTTTCATTGGTACTGGCATGCACTTGACTTTTGTTGGACCTTGCTGGTCTGACTTCCTGCTCATGACATGAGACAGAACTTTTATGCATTTAGTCCTCATTACAGCTCCTTGCAACAGCTATAGATCAACTCAAATTGCACTTCTCTTTAGTAAAGAAGGTGGAGGGAGGGTGACACATTCTAGGAGATTGCTGGGAAGCTTAGTTATCTGTGTGTGCTTGGGGCTCCAGAAAGAACTGTGGCAAGCTCTCCTTTGTGGACAGAGGTATAATGCTGTGTCTGTGACCAGGTTCCCTTTTCCATGGTGTCATGTAGCTTGTGTATCAGTTTCCTTCCTGACTCTTGTCTTTTTTCTCCCAAGAAGCTGGCTTATTGAAGTGGTAGAGCATATGTAGAATTAAAAAGCGCTGTAGGGATCCTTCTATGTGAAGGGTATAGTGTAAATGTGCAATAGTTTGCTTTTTATCAGAGCTCATTTTATGTCTTGGGGGAAGCTAGATTAGTACCACAAAAACAAGCTCACTGGAGTTCTTGTCAACTTTTAAATGAAGGCAGCATTTCAGAATTCACAAACCTTAGAATGGAACAGTGTTCCTGAGAGAGGGAACTTTGCAGTACAAATTCTGAAGTTAAAATGCATTAAACTATTAGCAGTATTTTTTTTCCATAATTGCGCCATGTAAAGTTTCTTTAGACTTCCCTTTCTGATTTGTTAACATGGAGGGTGCAAGTAAGTCTTTGAAAGACACCTCAGAAAGGTTTTTTGTGTTCACTTTTAAGATAGAGACATAAGAATGCTATTTAAATATGTGGTGAATATATATTTTTTCTAAATCTAAATTAACACTTTGTATTTATTACTTAAAAAATATGAGACTACAAGATATGAATGAAGACAAAGATTCATGTAAAACTCCACTATGTGTAATGATTTAAATCTATTCCTGGCACCATTGCCCCAGAACTTTAAGCCCTTATAAGATGAGAGAGCGTTATTTTGTCAATGTGATTTTTTTTTTCCTTCTTGGAAATTAGTGGTTTCTTACCCCTCCCTTCCTTAAATTAAGAGGTTTCTTAACATTCACAAAACTTGATCTCCTTCCTTTTGACTAGTTTGTTTCAGCAAATAGTTTGTCTCCACCTAACAACTTTTTCTTAATGCCTGCAGTGTCTCTGGAGCCATTATTTGTTCACCTCCTGAAGCAGCCTCAGAAATTGTATTAGATGCTTTGCGAGCGGGTAAGAGGAACTGTAGCAGACTTACAGCAAATTCTTTTGTTTTTAATGTGTGATATGTTCTGGGTTGGGCATACTGAGTTAACAAGGCATGTACTTAGAGATTAGCATTTATCAGTGTTTTCATAGATTCATAGATGTTCGGGTCGGGAGGGGCTTTAGTAGATCATTGAGTCCGACCCCCTGCCCTGGAGGTTATTCCATCTCCAGTGATTAGTCACTTGTGGCCTCCTCATTTGTACCTTACAGTATCTCTTGAGGCATGTACTGAATGTCTGATTGCATAATTAGAGAGAAGTTAGCTTATAGAAGCTGCTGCCCTAACGACTTTCCATGCAGCTTGAGTATGTACTGTGGTCCTTTTTTAAGTATGTGTAACTGAACTGTTCAATTGGATTAGTGCAAGCAGCAAGGGTGTTTTGCTAATATCTTTTATTGGACTAACGGTATAGTTTGAAGACACGTTAGACAAGCTTGCAGGTACAAAGTGTACTTTTCTGGGTCTGGGAAAGAAGCAAGTGCAACCTAAGCTAAAAGTGTTTAACTGCATATGTACAAAGAAATAATTGGAAAAATACACCTAAGAACAGAGGCAGATGAGATTCTATGAAATTTGCAAATGGTTAATGCACTATAGCTTTGTGGATAAGTAGCAATAACAGCCTTCCTCAAGTCTCCTGAAATGTTGTTTCTGGACTGTATTGATGTGTAATACAATATTGCAAGGTATAAAGTGTTCTGCTTGGATTGTGTCCTACACATATTCAGCTCTGTGTTATGTGACATTCTGCATAGGGAAAGGTGTGTTTTGCGAGAAGCTGCCCAGTTTAGACAGGCAGACAGCAGAGGCTTGTTTTGACGAAGCTGACAGATGTGGAAGACCATTGGTCTGTGGATTCTACAAGTAAGGACCCCATTTTATTCAGCTCTTTATGTGTTAAGGAAGTACAAGAGTGAAGTAATGCAATTCCAATTATTTTCTGCAAACTTTCTGTATTTGTTTTCTAGCTATTCAAGTATAATTTTGATTAAGTTTACTTAGTATGTGGCTCATCAGAGTATATATATTGTATACTTGCAGCTTCAGATTAATTCTTCACACTTCTTGGAGATGCAAATCTTTTTTTATATTTGGCATCGCATTAAAATTAATTTAACCATGTACATTGGATTGGGTGGTAAGAGAGTACGGTTGGTAAGTGCAATGAGGCTTGAGCACTGGAAGTGCTTAGTAAAATGTTACTTTAGTCTTTTTGTGGTGGTGAGATTTTGTAAAAATGACTGAAGCATTCTTCTGGGTAACTGGTGTGTGGTGTGTGAGAGAATGAATTAGGGAGTTACTTTTTGTGATATACAGCTTCTTGATTTTGCACCTGTGTAGCCTTTGAGATTCACTTTTGACTGCACTATTTTGCAAAGCATCTAGTTTTACAACTATATCAAGTTAGAAAAAACAGCAGTGTTACACCTTGGTTACAGACTAGTTTGGTTTCGCAGATTATTTCTTGTCATGTTGATTATGGTTGTTTTCTTTCAAGACCAAGGGATTTACAGCTCTTTTTGACTGTTTTTGTTGTATAATTTTGGAGAAGGAAAAGAAAAATATTATTGGAAGTGAACTGGCTCTGCTTTTTTTAAAATACTGCAGGAAAAAACTTTCTATTAGAAAACATTCAACATTTATTTACATAATATTTTGAAAATATAGCTTTGTTTGATTGTACTCAGTATGCTTTATGGACTCACTAACTGAATCCTAAAATCTTGTATACACTAAAAATAATTGTCCTGTGCACCCTATATAATAACATCAGCTGCAAGTAATGAAGAAGGTTTTGAGTATTTACATTCCTTGTGAAGAAACTACATAAGCTACCATTGATTTAGCCAGGCCATTTGAGTAGAGAAATTCATCCTCTACAGACAGCACATTTAATACTTGCATATAAAACCAGCAAGATACCTTTTAATCTATATGTAACTTCTTAGGTATTGCATATTAAACATTTTATTCCACAGTTGTTTAATCCCTGAATTGAAGCTCTTAGTACAGTAAAAGAGTTATTGCAGGGAAAAATTTACTCTGAATTTCTGAAACTTCTGCAAATTGCTGATCAAATGATTTCATCAAAAATTGTATGTCACATCTGTCCTAAATTGGTAGCCACATGTGGTCCAGATCCTTCACTGCCATCCAGTGTCAGGCTGGTGGATTGTCCTGGATGACTTCAGTGTACATAACCCCATTCTTTTCTGTATGCTCACTTATACATGTTGGCTGTCTTTCCACAGGCGCTTTGATCCAGCCATGCAGTTCTTGTATAAAAAAGTCCACGACAGCCAGGCACTGGGGAGGATTCATCGGATATCAACGGTTAGCAGCATATATCCAGCGGCTTCTCTTAGCTTCCTAAAAAAGTCAGGTACTAAGTAGCTTTCTTATAGAAGAAGAGGTTCATTCTGTGAAGGCACATCAATTGACCTTATTGCATATTCCAGTGGAACCTTCTGTGTGTGTATGCATATATCCCTAAAGTGCATTTTTTCCTCTTAGGGAGGAGAGGCTCTTTGACACTAACCTTTTTTTTTTTTTTTTTTTTGGGG